CACGTTTGTTTGGCGGATTAGGTTGGATGAGATTATTAGTGAGAGAATTATTAGTGAAGAGATTGTTAATGTGTGGATTGTTAGTGAGGGGATTAAGTAAAAGTGTGTTTGTTTTGATGATAGTGTGGGCCATGATTAATGATGGGATTGTTAAATTATTTTTATATAAAATAAATAAATAAATTATTTATATATTAAAAAAAAAGTAAAACAAATATGTGCACTTGGTAAAAAAAAATAAAATTGAAAAAATAATTTTTTTATATAAAATAGACTCAATCTCCCTCACTATTTTCCTAATCCCACCTAAAATTCACTAATCCCCCTATAGAGGGGGATTACTAAGCCTCCTTCATTACTAATCTTATGACATTTTGTTACATCCAAACAAGGGTTTGGTGGATCCCACAGATTGGTAATCCAATCCATCCTCTAAAACCCCCAATCAAACATGGCTTCTATGTTATCTTCTCGGAGTCCGGATCCTCTCTAGCCAAACCCTCCAGCCATTTCTCCTGTCAAGGGCCAGGATTTGGCCACGTCACCAGGCCCAAAAGCTACGGTTTAGATCAAGTTTGGTTTAAAAAAAAAAAAATTGAATTTTTTTTCATTCAACACAGCAATAAAGCTTCATTCTCATTCGCTTTTTCCCTCCCTTTTCAGCTTTGGTGAACGACGACACTATCTCGTGACACCGACGGCGGTGAACCTAAGTCGGTGGTGAACATCGATGGTCTCTCCCTCTTTCCCAAATAATCTGTCATTTTCAAAGTTGCTCCCATTTAATCTGATTTTTCCCACGAACTAGAGTTGCTCCCATTTCATATGTATACATATATATAGTCTAATCTATAATGTGGTTCTGCAAGATCATTTTTTGAAACTAGCACAGTTGTTATTTGTTGGTTCTTATTAATTGGTTCCAAATAAATAATCACCTAGTCATAAAAAAAGAGAGAGATTAGTTTCACCATTATTCAAATCTCATATCAATTAATTCTAACTATTGCAAACAATAAACTTTACTATTGTTGTGAAGCTTCACTACAAAAACATAACAGCAAAAATATAGCTTTGAAAAAATGAAAACAACAAAAATTGAAGGAATTATGGAAGACTGGAAGAACTATGAGTAATCTTCCAACATTTCAGTAAACAGCAAAAATATAGCCTGTAAGTTTGATGAAGTGCAAATTAGGGCTCTGGTTCGTGGGGTCGCCGGAGCTCTAGTTCGCGGCTGAAATCTTCAGAGTAAGACAGAGGGACAGACCGGCAGATAAAGTTGATGTTCGCCGCCAATCGTCATTCACCATAGTTTCGAAGAGGGAGGGAAAAAGTGAATGGGAGGGAAGCTGAATGCGAGGGAAAGCTCTGTGTTGAATGAAAAAAAAAATTCAATTTTTTTTTTTTTTTTTAAAAAACCAAACTTGATTTGAGCCGTAGCTTTTGGGATTGGTGATATGGCCAAATCCTGGCCCTTGACAGGAGGTATGGCTGGAGAGGATCTAGTACTCATCTTCCCGACTGTCTCCATCGAGTCAAGATCCTCACTTTTAATTTCTCATTGACTCCCTACTTGTTAGGCTATTGGGCACACTTTTGGGTCTAATTTCAATAATCCGAACTATTCACATTTTAAGATTTGTTGAGTATATTATATTTGTAAAAAATCAAATTGATTGAATATTAGAAATTACGTATTCGGATCATCGAATTAAAAATCATTTTTAAAAAAAATTTAATAAACAGTTTTCTAAACACATGTTTTTTGATATCCGATCAATTTGATTTTTTATAGGTATGATATACTCAACAAATTTTAAAATGTGAATAGTTCGAATTATTGAAATTAGACAAAAAAATGGGCCTAATGACCTAGTAAATAGAGAGTCAAGGAGAGAAGTAAAGAGAGGATCAGATTCTGTCTCCATCTCTATCTCCACCTGTCAGATCCGACAACCCGTATCACCTGACCCGCTCCGACCCGTCTGGAGGCACAATGAATGAATGCGTGACACCTATAGGCGGGCGCGGGCCCAAAAATACCATTTCCGCAGGTGCGGGTGCGGGTCGCATTAATCGGCCAATTCTATTGAATCACCCGACCCGGCCGCCCACACTAATTTTCCCCCCTCTTCCCCCCAGTATTGCCCCTCTTTTTTTCATTTGAGGTTTGTTTGTAGCCGACGACGGTGTCTGCCTCTCTCTCTCTCTCATACGTGAACGGAGGCGACGAGAAGCGATCGGCGTTGGCGACAGTGGTGGCTATCGACGATCGCCGATCGGCGACAGTGGCGGCGAGCAGCGATCAAAGCATCGATTTGAAGGTAATCTTCTCTTCTCTTTTTGTCTTTGATCGACGATCCGCGACTGTGTTCTGTGTTTTTATTTTTTTTATTTTTTCAGTAATTAGGGCTTCGGCTTCTTGTCTTCTCTTGTCTCTTCTTGTCTTCTCTTCTTGTCTTTGTACAGAGCTTATTTTTTCAGGGCTTCGACTGTGTTCTGTTAATTAATTAGGGCTTTGACTGTGTTAAATTAATCATGTTTCTGAGTATTTGATCAATGACAGCCCAAATTGATGACATGGACTCCATGGTTAAGGTTGCCTTGGAGTATTTGACTGTGTTAAATTAATCAGATTAATCTAATATTTTTTCTAAGTATTTGACTGAGTATTTGATCATGTTTCTGTTGATTAATTAGGGCATTGAAATTCTCTTCTTCTCTTATTTTATTTTTTGTTTTTTGTTTTGTTCCAGTTCGAAAACCTCTCATTTAGAGTCTAATCTGTTATTTTTTTTTTCTTGGTTTTGTTCCAGTTCTAAAACTAGAGAGGTGGTGAGATTGACAGTGAGGGTTCTATACACACAGAGAGAGGAAGCTTACAGAGAGAAAAACACAGAGGTTTGGTTTCTTTTTCTTGTTATCTGCAACGGATTTTGTAAGGGACTTCATAGAAAAAATATTAGATTAATCTGTTATTTCTCTTCTCCTGTTGTCTGGTATGTCTCTCCACACTCTGGTATGTCTCACGTTCTGATTTAATAGTATTACAGTTGAACTGATTTGATTTAGGAACTGCTGGTATGATTTAATAGTATCACACTCTGGTATGATTTAGGAATTGCTTCGGAAATGAACTGATTTGAGCAATTTGTGTTTATAAATTGATTTAGGAACTGAAAATAAAAAGATTCATGACAGTTGAGAGAGGAGGGCATTTGAGATATTCAAAATGAAAATAATAGATTAATTTTTGGACAGCAACCTCTCAGACAGGTTTTTTAGATAGTTCATTGGTTACTTATGCATATTTATCATCTTTTTAATGTTTTAGTCCTTCATGTATTACTTATGTAATAGTATTATGTAATAGTATTACTTGTTCATGTTTTTTTAATTGCTCATATTAGTCCTTCATGTATTGATTTAAAAGTACATGTGTTTTTTTTTTTTGTATGTTGAAAATTTGTAAAATTTCAAACCGCCAAACCGATTCGTATCTATCCGCCAATCCGCCAAATCCGCATCCGCCGGATTGGCGGACGGATGCGGATTGATTTTCTCCAATCCGCCAATCTGGCGGACGGATGGCGGATTGGAGGTTTCGTGACCGCAACCGATCCGCGCCCACCCCTATCTATAATTGTATTTCAGTAAAAATAATGGTGATATGAATGTTGGATTTGTGCAGGCATTAGTGGGATGTGATGGTTCTTTTTCAAGATTGTAATTTTTTATCCCCCATTTGTAATTGACTGGTTTGCTTTGCTTTGAAAGGACTGAATAATGTAATTTGATGGCTTAGTGTCTATTTTGTTTGCTAGAGCGCGTTGTTTTCTATAACTTCATAAATGTTTTTTCTTGTCCCATTGTCATCTTGAGAATTATTAAAATTTTGACTCTATATTAAATTTAGTTGTCACTATTGATCATAGCATTTGGTGTTATTGCCGCTATTTCAGAATGAAATATAGGTCAGTTTCAATTTGGATTGCTTGGATTTTCAGCTTGGCTGAATAGGTCAAGATCACATTTTATTACAAGATCATGTATAATGTCATAAAAAAGGGTACTTCTTATCTTTGTTTGGTTTTGTTTTCAATATATGTTTTTTGAGAAAAAAAAAAAAACTAGTTTGCTGAAAAAAATGAGAAAAATCAAAAAATCATTATTTTCATATGTTTCTCTGTTTTTGGGTGAAAATATCTTTTTGCTATTTATTTTCGTCAAACCAGTTTCTATTTAAATAATAATAAATAAATAAACAACAGAAAACATATTGTGAAAAATAAGCAAACAGAATTATTTGTTTCCCTTTTTTGGTTTGAAATGGAGTGTTTGCTTTCAAGGGGTTAACTAATCTGTACATCTTTCAAGATATTTTCACTCCATTATTGCACTAAATATTTTTTTGGTTGAAATAATAGATTAATTTATGGAAGTTCCTCTCTAGGGTTTTATTTTATGTATCATGAAAAAGAGTTATGTCAACCTTTGTACTTATTAGTAGGCTAGTAGTAGCCAACCTTGTTTCTATTTCTGCTTCATGGTCATGAATATATATGTTTTTATCACATTTTTGTAGAAAATAACAGTGCTGTTGTATTTTCTTCCTCTTTTTACCCTCTTTATGTTTGCATTTTAAAATCAATTATGTTGCCTGCATTCTTGTTGAGCCATTTTGTTGTGGCCTCCTGATCAATCTTTTCAACCTATATAGATAGTTTTATTGTGCCAATTATTCAAATGTAGTAACAGTTTAAGAACATATTAGTTGGATGAATTTGAAGATAATTCTATTCACTCTGAAGTAACTGAGTATACTACGGGTTTGTAGCTCTATTTTCATCTCTTTTTGTTGTGTGTGTGGATAATTTCATCTTACTGGGTCATTAGTATAATTCTTACAAATGAAGCCTTGTATGTAATGATGATTTTTTTTTTTAATGTTCCATGCGTATAGGAATTGTATCTGTCTGTTATGTTGCCGGGGGATGTCTGATAGAAAAAGCTCATTTATCTTTTCTACAATTATCATTGTTTTTGTGGAACGTTTTGTTGTTTTTCATTAATATTTTCAGGTTGCATTGACCATCCTTTCTTCTTCTTAATTGTTGTTTTAGGTTTCTCTGAAAGGGAGTGGAAGTTCAAAATGCTGCAAAATGTCCCACATCAAATTGTACAATCACCAGCCAGACTAGGCCTGCCAAACCCAAATTCACCCTCTTTACAAAACCCTACCCCTCCTAAATCCTCCTCCCAACTCCCACAACCTCAGCTCCCCAATCAACAATCAAATTTGTCAAAAGCCACGACCACCTCCTCAACTCTTCTTCCTCTACTTCCGCCTCTCTCTAGAGCCCAATGTCTTCTCCTTCAAATGGCTTCCCTTGCATCTCGGCTATTTGAGGTCTCACCCAATAGGTCTCATTGGCTTAGTGCCTTCCGTGGCTCCCTTCCTACCTTTCTATCATCCCAAACCCAATCCACAACACCAGTTCAACCAGACTCCTTGCCTTCCACCACCAAAGAAATCCTCTCCCTTTTTACAACCCTTCAAACTCAGCTCTTTGAAGCTGTTGCAGAACTTCAAGAAATTCTTGATCTTCAAGATGCTAAGCAGAAAGTTGCTCGTGAAATCAGGTCAAAAGATTCCGCAATGCTTTCCTTCGCTAACAAACTTAAAGAAGCCGAACGGGTTCTTGACATTCTCGTCGATGATTATTCTGATTATCGCCGCCCCAAAAGATCAAAATCAGAAGATGATAAGGATGATTCTTGTACCACAACTATTTCTACTCAGCTGAATTTATCTGACATTCTATCATATGCCCACAGGATAAGCTACACAACATTTGCACCGCCGGAATTTGGTGCTGGGCAGGCACCTTTGCGTGGGGCACTCCCACCTGCCCCACAGGAGGAGCAAGTGCGCGCTTCTCAGTTGTATGCATTTGCTGATCTCGATGTTGGTTTACCTAAATCAGCAGAAAGCAAGGAGAAAACAATTGAGCCATTCATTGAGGCTCCTCCTGCACAACAGCCAGACTCGAATCCACTTGCTAATCTCACTGGTATTCAGGGTCTGATTCCTCTAAATTTTGTGATTCCATCTGGATGGAAGCCTGGGATGCCTGTGGAATTGCCTAGTGATTTACCGATGATGCCTCCACTTGGCTGGAAGCCTGGTGACCCAATTCCGTTGCCACCATTGGATAGTCTCCCAATTGCTGGTAGAATTGAGGAGCAACAACCACGACCCATTCTTGCTCAAGG